GAAGTTTGAGAATAAACTTTTTCAAAAAGGGGGGTAATATTATAGATTATATTCAATTACAATTGTAATCGCTTATATATATATTTGTATATATATCTAATTATATATACATAATTAATATATAAAAACACTTTATAAGCACTTTGCTCTCAATTCTGTAATTGTAGATTCTAAGGATAAATTGTACCCTGCTCTCGCAGTTCTTCTAAGGCAAAGTATTACATATATAATATTATTTTCTTTATAATATACTTAAAAAACTATTGATTTATAGCTTTTATATTTATTTAATATTAATATTTAATATTTACTTTTTCTTTAATTCTTAATATATTTATCAAAATATTTTAATTATTTTAAATTTATTTTATTATTTATTTATTTATTAGATATAGATTTAATAATTTATTCTATAAGAAAATTTGTTTTAATATATTAATTAAAGAAATAAACTTGTTTTTGAATTATTAGAAATTAAAGAATAATTTTATCTTTTTTATTTCTATATATTATTGCTATAGCTTATTCTTGATTATTTGATTATATTATTTTACTTTTATTATTTTGTTTAGTATTAGTTATTATTATTATTATATATATAATACTTATTATGAAGCTTGTTTTATCGAAATTATAGAAATCTCTATTCAAAATACTATATTTTGCTTGTATATTCATAATTAATTGAAATCATTTTTTAAAAAGTTTAAGATTTTTATAAAAAGCTTTTTGAAAGTTATAAATATAATTAAAATATATTTTTAATTCAATTTGATATTTTATAAATCAATATATCTAAAACTTTTTAATATATTTTGTATTTTTTAATTTGAGAATATTATTTACTATATTTTTCATATTTTTTAATTTAAATAGAAATTCTTTTAAATCTATATCAAATATATATTAAATAATTATCTTTTCTTTTAATTCTATAATTTTATAATTATTTACTCGAATTTCTATATAGAAAAGTAAATCTTTTATTTTATAGAAAAATATTATATATATTATATTATATAACTTAATAGCTTTATAAATATTAAGATTTTTATTTTTTTGAATAGTTTTAATAATTAAAAGTATTTGAGCTTCTTTTTTTATTGATTATATAATAAATAATTGATAAATTATATGTTGAAATTGAAGAGTATAAATTGAGGTAAAAGTGGTGTATTCAGTGATATGGTACACTCGGTGTTAAACCACGTTACTCAAAGCTTTTCAATTACTTTTCTATTTCGAAATTCAAGAATATAATTTGTTATATCTTTTATTTTTTTAAATTTAAATGAAAAACCTTTTGAATTTATATCAAAAATATATTGAATAATAATATCCTTTTCTAATTTTATAACTTTATATTAATTTGTTTGAATTTCAGTATATAAAATTAAACTATTTATTTTATAATATAATATTGTAAATAGTATATTATATATTTTAGTAGATTATTGTATACTAAGTTTTTTGTTTTTTTGAATAACTTTAATAGTTAGGAGTATTTGAGTTTCTTTAGTAGTTGATTCTATAATAATTGATTGATAAAATGTGTGTTGAATTGATGCATAAAAAATTGAGGTGAAAATGATTCACTTGATGATATAATCTACTTGATGATATATTACATTATATATTATATTATTTTTATTAAAACAATAAATACAAATCAATATTAAAATAAAACTTTATTCAAATTTCTATTTAGATATAAGAAAGTATAATTCGTTTCTATATAGAATTCAATAAATGTTCAAATTCAAATCATATGAGTTTTTATCTAATTATTAGCCGGGCTCTCTTTAAAAACAAGATTGAGTAGATACTGATATTTTCGATAATCCTTTCTAGATGTTGCCCAACCATGGTACTAACGTTTGAAATACTAAGTACCGAAAAATTGGTGGAAGGCACAGCTGAAATTGATGGAACAACCATTTAGCTCCCAGTGAATCATCATGTACTTCTTAATACATCCTCGGCGTGCTTTCAAAGGCAGCTGGAGATGATGCATTCGGATGTGATGTTTGTCGGTGTGGAACATGCAGTTTGATAAATTCCCGCCCCAAATTTAATATACACACTCAGTCACGACCTTGTGCTTATTAATCAATATTCAAGTTTCCAGATTTACTTGCGTCGGCGTGCTCCCATATTGTAAAGGCTCTTGTTCGAGAATAGGTTCATGTACAAGTTTTGATCGACGATTGATTATATATATTTTGGAACCTGAAATTCTCCTGCTTTAACGTGGCTTCCATGATCGATCGTTAATCCACAAAACCCTGATAAGGCATCGCGACCGAATTAGGTAGCAAGACCTTCTAGGAACATACTTCTCGGGCAATGAGATCACCAAGCACGACGCATATACGCAATCGATATTAATATTCACTGAAATTCCAATCACAAGGCTTGAAGAACAAAAATGCCTCCAAAGACCAGGGGGAGAGCAAAGGGGAAAGGCAAAGCTGCGGGTCAAAATGCAGTACCAGATGTATATCGTGATATGCTAGAAGAGGCCATACAGTCGCAGTTAGAAGTATCCGAAAGACCTTTGAAAAAACGGAGAGTTGGTTTACGAGATGCTGTAGTTACGGCATCAAAAGCAGGGCCTTCGAAACCTTCTGTGGCGGAGTCACGTGACGAAGCTGAAGATGATGAAGACGTCGAGTTTGAGGATGTCATAACGGCACCAACGAGTCTCAATGGTGAGAACCCAGAGGAGGATGAGAACGGGCCTCAGCAGACTGCATATAGAGATTCAGATGAAGAAACAGACGAGAGCGATGCAGATGTTGAAATTGACTGGGAAAATGTTAATTTTAACACCAAAGAGGATGAACCATCAGGAGATCTAGAATTAACCCTTACCAGACCAGCACCTCAGCGTCAAACTGCTACTCCCCGACGTAAGACTCTCACTCAAGGAGACAGAAATCTCCGATTGGAGATTCATAAATTGCATCTTTTATGTTTGTTGTCACATGTTCATAGAAGAAATGAATGGTGTAACGATTCTGAAGTTCAGGACTGTCTTAGACCGCTTTTGAATAGGAAAATGTTGTCATTCTTGAGGCCAAGAAAAGATCTATCGCAATTCAGTCAAGCTGAATCGTTGAAAAAAGGTTTGGATATGGTGGCTGTTTTGTGGAGGACAAAGTTTCAGATTACAAAGAGGGGATTGAGGCGGGCATTGTGGGCGGATAATGAGGACGATATCAAAAATGTGAGATTTTTTCTTGCTTCTTATTGAAAAATCTGACGTGTTTACAGTACAAATTGCCTGAAGATGCAGATGCTTCATATGAGAGGGCAGATTTTAGGACCGCGGCAACGGAATTAAAAGGCTCTAGAGACTCAGGAGCACAACTATTCTGTGCATTGTTACGAAGCGTAGATGTTGAAGCCCGCTTAGTGTGTTCTTTACAGCCCCTATCCTTCACTACCGGCGGCCCATCCATGCCCAAACCACCCAAGCCGAAAGTAAGACCAAGTATTCCGCCTCCACCCATACCCTCACCAGGACCCAGTAACTCAACCCTCCTCTCAAATCCACGCAGTCGTCTCGGACATCCAGGGGCCGCCGGCTACAATATTCCCACCATCAATCCTGCACCTCTACCGCCACCCACCCCAAAAGCAAAGCCCATCCGCGAATCTCCATTTCCAATCTTCTGGGTCGAAGTCCTCGATTTTGCTCACCAGAAATGGATTCCGATCGACCCCCTAGTCACAGAAACAATCTCTAAGCCCCGCTCCTTTGAGCCACCTCTCACAGATAAAGATAACGCGCTCTCTTACGTTCTAGCCTTTTCTTCTGATTCCTCCGCCCGAGACGTAACTCGTCGTTACGCCAAGGCTCCTAATTCCAAAACCCGCAAACAACGCATCGAATCCATGCACGGAGGACAAAAATGGTGGCACAAAGTCCTCTCCCACTATTCCCGGGGCTGGAAAACAGATGTAGAACAAATTGAAGATGGAGAATTGGCAGCATTAGAAGGAAGAGAACCTATGCCAAAGAACGTACAGGATTTTAAGGACCATCCTGTTTATGCACTTGAACGCCATTTACGAAGAAATGAAGTTATCGTTGCGGAAAGAGAAAGTGGAAAAGTAGCCACCGGGAATGCGAATGCAAGTGGAATCAAGAAATTGGAAAATGTTTATCGTAGGAAAGATGTCCATATATGCAAAAGTGCAGACGCATGGTATCGACTTGGCCACGAGGTCAAGATGGGCGAAGAACCCGTCAAAGTCGTACCATCTCGAAACCCACGAAAAAACGATTTTGCGGACGAAGAAGAAAGAGAAGAAAGAGCGGGAACAGCACTGTATACGCAACTACAAACAGAACTCTACATTCCACCCCCGATATTAAATGGTCGGGTGCCCAAAAACTCGTTCGGAAATATAGATGTATATGTACCATCTATGGTTCCGAAAGGGGGCGTTCATATCTCAGCACCGGAATCAGTATATGCGGCAAAGTTGCTGGGTATAGATTTTGCAGCCGCATTAACGGGATTTGAATTTAGAGGGAGACATGGCACGGCGGTTTTGAGGGGAATCGTGGTAGCAAAAGAGTATAAAGAGGCAGTAGAAGAAGTTGTGAGGGGATTTAGGGACGAGAGGGAGAGAGAAATAGAGGAGGAAAAGAGGGAAATAGTGTTGAGGCTTTGGAGGAAGTGGTTACTGGGGTTGAGAATTAAGGAAACGGTAGATGGGTATTTTGATGATGAGGAAGGGGAGGACGATGCTGAGGTTGATGAAGAGGACGGGGCTCATAATGAGGAAGAGGAAGCGGAACCCGAGATGGAGGATGGTGGGTTTGTGAGAGATGACGAGGATGATGATGGTGGGGAAGGGGGTGGTTTCTTAAGAGAAGATGAGAATATGGAGAGTGATGATAGTAGCGAGTTGAGCGATACGTATACAGATGATGAATATGACGATGATATGGGCGGTGGATTTATTCCAGAATGAGATTGTATATAGAGCAAGTATGATAAATTATAGATTCATTACTTTTGTCTAACCATCTTACAATTTCGGATTACAATCCATATTTTCTCCTAACAAATTCCACCTCGAGTGAAAGAAGTTCGGTGAATCTAGCAGGGGCTTCATAACCACAACTGCTGCGATACAAACGATTCCAAAGAAACCGTAGGCTAACTTAGGCATTTCATAATTAACTTACTACGGTCGGCCTTGTGTTCCAACCCCGGGATCCATCGCTCTCACGCTACTCCTTAACCCCCATAACCCAAGTCATATATCCCGTGGGCCATGTATGTCTCTCCCTCCCACTCAACACCTTCCACCCATTGGTATCACCGCCACTCTTCTTCATCAATGCCTCTACTTCACTTGCACTCCTGGTCCTTACAGAACTTATGATTCCATCAAACACTAGCACGAAAGGGATAATTGGTATAACATATGTGAAGAATAGATGACCAGGAGAGCGCCAGAAGTAGAAGGGAGTAATTCCGAGCATCATTATGCCCATTGCGAACATGGTTATCAAGGAGGAAATAGTGCGTTCTTGGAGCTCGAATATACTGCACCCATGTGTTAGAAATTTTGGCAAAAACAATGGGGAAAAAGAGGATTGATAGGAAAGCAGGGGGAAACATACCCAAAACCATCCGCAGTCTCCACCGTGTTCTTCAATATATCGCCTCCCAATTCATCGCCGAAATGATGAAAAGCCAAATTATACAATCGAAAAACTTTAGTCTCGCCATGTACACCATTTGTCTCACCGTTGACATTCTTCAACAGATCTCTCGGCGCATTTGCTGCATCGACAGGTTCAGGTATAAAATTGAGATTCTCGCTGCGTTTCGATGCTTCTGTCCAATCGGGTATATGAGGATGTAAATCCGTTAAAACAAATTGTACTTTCCCATATCCATCATCACCATTAACAGGACGTGGTGAGCGCAGAGCGAGTCCGTCTATCTGATTTTTTGGCGTAGCTGCGACTTCGGCATATGAGACTTCATGGTTTGCGATTGATGTGGTCGAGGCATTGGTGGTAGAAGTAGAGGAGTGATTCAAATGTGCATTCATGTACACTTCGATATAAGGAGTGGGACCCCCGGCTCCGGCACAGAAATCGACATAAGTATAGGATGTGACGTCGTTGGAGAGCACTCGAGAGAGGGTTGTGGCGACTAATTGGGCAGGGGAGGAGGGTTGGATGATGGGGACGCGGAAGGTCCAGCAGAGGGTTAGACAAGATTGAACCTTTAAACGGAGGTATTGGGGAAACCTGCAAAGAGCTGTTAGTTGTAACAAGAGGTGGTATGACGGCGAAGGATCAATGAAAGATGGGAGAAGTGTGGAGCTTGGAGAGCTTGTCTTGAGCTGCAAGGGCTAATATACCAGGGTTGATCATTGATCTCAAATAAATGAAGTCGTGGACAAATGAGCACCATTTTTCCTCTGTTATTCCTCGTATCTCCAATTGAATGACAATATATATCTCAAGGTCGAAGATTAATGCCGTGGATTGAGGATGTCGAGTTGTAGCAAATGAATGATGAATGATGTCGTATCCCAGGTATGAAACATGAAGCATTATCTCTTATCCTTACAACGCTAGTTCTAGCCTAAAACTAGGGTTCCTTCATTCCATTATTATGCATATTGCATCACCACATTTTTCACGTTCATGATTCTTTGTTCGATGTCGTACGGACTTGCAGGAGAATGTTCATCTCGATAATTATATCAATTTTCATTGCGGTCTGTTTGGGGAGTTCTTTGTTTAAAGGTTCGGAGATTAGGAGGAATGGAAAGAGATTGAGGTAAGTGAACGCGAATTTGGCACGAAATCACGAGGTTGCTTTTTTTTTTCAAAAGAGATGATCCCACATAACATTGCAATCTTGTACTAGTGTACATTCATTTGTTCTTCGTGTTGGCACCTGGCATCTCTCACGAGAGTGTTTATGTCAAAGTCCTTTCCCCGCTCACCTATCAGACTAATCAAGTGTCCAGACGACCACCAAATACATTGCCATTAGTTGGAAATGGTATCCTATTTCTCCAAGCTCGTCACAAGCTCTTTTCCTGGTTCGTTGAGTGCGAGCGCAAGTTTGGATGGGAAACATTCGAAATTTCAGTTCCTTCATTACCACCCGGTGTTGTGATAAATGATCCGAAGAATCTCGAGTACGTTCTGAAGAATGAAGGCATTTTTGCAAAAGGGGACTTCTTCAAGAGCAGATCTTGGGATTTATTTGGCAATGGAATTATCAATGCTGATGGGGATCTATGGAAAGTGCAGCGAAAAGCTGGCTTGAATTTTCTTAATGCTTCAAATCTGAAAGTTCTCACCGATGTTGCACTTCCAAAATATGTAGAGGAGACTCTGGCACAGCTAAGAATTGCAGAAAATGGCAAGACTATCGATTTAGAGGCTGTGTTTCATGAATTGACTACGAAGCTTATGGGTCGAATGGCATACGATGTAAGGACTGGAATTTTCAGAATGTGACTATGAGACTTTTCACTGACAGAGTTAGATGGACATGCGTTCAGGTGATCCATTCTCGTTAGCCTTCGAATACGCATCCGGAGCCACCGGAGAAAGGTTCCAGAATCCTCTTTGGCCTGTCACTGAGATGGTATTTGGTGGTCGTTTTAGATCATCAACAGCAAAAGTCAAAGCCTTTGGTACTGAGATTGTGTCGAATGCTGTTAGGGCTCGACAAGAGAAGTCTCAGGTGAACAGCAAGCAAAACTCCTTGGATTCTATTTCCGGCAGTTTAATCAATTCTCTATTGGAATCGATTGACGACCATCAAATGGTAGCAGATGCAGCCTTAAATTATCTTTCCGCTGGTACGTATCACATCGAATGGCCATGTGTCCATTTCTCAGCTGATGATGGCTAGGCCGTGATACTACTGCACAAGCTTTGACGTGGACATTTTATCTTCTAATGCGTCACCCAAGAGTCATGGACAGTGTACGTCAAGAAGCAGCCTATCTTACCAAAGAAATTCCCGGCAGACAGTCAACAAGATATAAGCCCACAACTGTCCCGTATATTATGGCTGTTTTCTATGAAGCACTGAGACTTTATCCACCGGTGCCATTCGAAATCAAGCAATGCGAGCAAGCGACTACACTACCGGATGGAACCTTTCTTCCCAAACACGCGGTGCTGGTTTGGTGTCCATGGGCGATGAACAGGTCAAGGTCGATCTGGGGTGAGGATGCTGATGATTTTAGACCTGAGAGATGGCTAGACGACGGCGTCATAATTTCGAAATCTGCTTTTGAGTATCCAGTATTCAATGGGGGACCACGAACTTGTCTAGGAAAGAAAATGGCAGAAGCTGTGGCTGCTCAGGTAATTGCAACATTGGTTGTCAATTTTAACATTTCGTTGATCGACCGTAAAGAGAGAATTAGTAGAAATAGTCTTACTTTGCCCATGGAGGGTGGGCTGCCGTGTAAAGTGAGTATAATTTTCTCTGCATGAATCATAATTCCAGTCGCAGAGCCCTGACTGTTGAATTGTGGAAACAATCTTTTCGGTGTCTTATTGGCAACGCTAGTTCAACCTCGATTCTGAACCATGGATGTCCCAATCCGGGCTGAATAATGTTATGCGGTGTTTGAGCTAATTCTATTTAATTCCCGAGTTTGTGATATCTTGTGCAATATTTCGACATTCGAAGCTCTACTCCTTCTCATTGATTAAGCCCTGTGAATACGAATAAGTATTCGAGAAAGACCTGAGTTCGCCGGAGAAGTGTAATCAAGGATGCACTAAATTTGTTGTTCCTTCCTTTGTTCGGCAAATCAACCAATCAGATACGCGTTTATAACCAAGTCGTCAGCGTCCTGTAAGCAAATGACAAAGACAAAAGAATGGAACTCCGCGGCCGCTTTCAGACTTCACAAACTCTGGCCAGTATATTCTCTCCATATTGATATAATTCAGACATGGGTTGCGGAATGTACCCCGCAATTCTGAAGACGGACCTGTATATATGTTGAGACATGAGCCACTTAATTGATCTTCATCTGCTTGATATAATCACGCATCGATACTCAACCATGACTGCCGTACAGCTCAAAACTATCAATGCCGATGGCGTCGACATATTCTACAGAGAAGCCGGGCTCTCTGATGCCCCAACACTCCTTCTCCTCCACGGCTTCCCTAGCTCGTCTCATCAATACCGCAATCTAATTCCTCTTCTATCTAAGAAATATCACATCTTAGCTCCAGACGTCCCTGGATTTGGGTTTACTTCAGTTCCAGAAAGCCTCAATTACAAGTACACATTTGATGCTTTAACCACTTCCATCGAGTCTTTCTTACGTGAACTAAAAGTTCAGAAATACTCAATCTACCTCTTCAACTATGGCGGTCCAATTGGATTACGTCTTGCGATCCGTCAACCAGACGCCATACAATCAATAATCTCCCAGAATGGCAACGCATATACCGAAGGACTCGGTGGTTTCTGGGCTCCTCTTGAACAGATGTGGGCAACCAAAACACCTGAAGAACTCGCCTCATCCAGAGAACCCTTGAAAGGAGTCATTTCATTAGATTTCACCAAATGGCAATACGTTACCGGAACCCCAGAAGCTAATCTTAAAAAAATTGCACCAGAGTCTTATACCTTGGACTATGCTCTGATGTCCCGTCCTGGAAACACGGAAATCCAACTTGATCTTTTCTACGATTATCGTACGAATATTGAGTTGTATCCGGAGTTTCAGAAATTCTTCAGAGACTCAAATGTACCTATTCTAGCGGTTTGGGGAAAGAATGATGAGATTTTTGTTCCAGCTGGGGCAGAGGGATTCAAGAAGGATAGTAAGAATGTAGTGGTGGAGTATTTGGATGCGGGACATTTTGCTTTGGAGACTAATGTTGACGAGATTGCGGATGCAATTTTGAGATTTAAGCAGAAATTTGGGCTTTGAGATGTTTTAGTCGGATCCTCAGATGGAAATTAGTGCTTAAATTAGAGGAATGTCTCAAATTGTTTGAAACAATCGGGTTCTAATTTTTTTTTTTTGAGAATTCATTATATCGGCTGAACTGGAAAATGACTAGTGACTTTACCCATTTCATAGGACATATCTTGCATTGCCTTTCAGATCCTGTATTTCTTCTGTCTAAAATCTTCTCTCAAGCTATCCCACCACGATTTCCTATTCTTGTTATGGAGGCGTTCAAATTTTTTACTTCTCCACATTTCTCAGTGCGATAGGATCACATAGGATGGGTCCGGTAAGTATATATTCGCGAAGTGAGTGTTGTTCAAGTGACAGGCAAGGAAGAATCTTGCTCTATTGCGTCATGCATTGTCCATACAATATTTACAGCATTACGGTTAGGTTGTCTTCACATCTCTTTCATGATGTTGTGAGATCAAGTGTGAAAAGTCTTTCGGGTCAACTTTGAATTTGTTGACAAGTAATCATCTGGTTACAATGAGCACTTCATAATCAATGAGTACTTTATGATTGATAAGTATTTTATAATTAATACGCATTTTATAATCAATGAGTACTTCATAATTAATTAGCACTTCATAATAAATGAACCTTTCGATATCATTCAGTAGTGTATAATAGGTCCAATGTATTGCTTGATATTGTGTATATTGCTATTCTGTGCTCAGACCTACGAAGTAATTTAATACTCGTGCATTTAAAAAGTGGCCCGATCAATATCAATGTAAGAATATATGTGCCCTCTTCCACTATGACGTGATCATTGTTCGATATCATCAGAGACTATTATATATTTCAACAGACATCGAATCTGTCATTAGAGGACGATTTCCTTAACTATACTTCGAAACTGGACCGAACTCCCCATGTCTCTTTCTCTTGATCTGAGACGGCTCTACTCCATATCTCTTAGAAAATCCCCGTCGTGATATCTCATAAGCTTCTCTTTTGGCCGCCTCGAAACCCTCCGCAAATTGATTCGTAGCTCCTCTTTCAGAAACAATGGTTGTGTTTTGAAGATCCCGTATTTGCACTAGTTCTGATGCATCTTGTTGAAAATAGTCCTCGAAGAGCGTCGTTCTAATATCACACTCATGATTCCTCAGTTGTTCCATGCGATCATCCAGCTTCTCAAACCTCAAACGAGAAACGTTCTTTTGAAGTTTATATACTTTATACCGAAAAACGATAACGTATACAAAACTTAAGATTCCCGATACAACTAAAACAACGAGAGCGGTGATTGGTACAGAAGCTCGCCAGGGCTCGTCGATGTCGGTAGTACCGCAGGTATTATCATCCTTACTTGTAGAATTTTGTGGTGGGCAAATGGCTGTGGGAAGCGAGGCCAGAGAATGAATGGGTGACGATGAAGTAGGGTTCAGACTCGCGGTATGAGAGGAAGATGTGAGATACATATTTCTTTTTGATGCTCAATTTCTGAGGTCCGTTGTAGGTGTACTGAAACAGATTTTAATGTGAAGAAGATTGAAGTTGAGATTAGAGTATAGAACTTCGTAAGGATTTTTTAATGCAAAACGACTTTTGAATTCTGAAAAGATTTAAAAGATTTAAAAGATTTAAAAGATTTAAAAGATTTAAAAGATTAGATAGTTAATACAACATTCAAATATTATTTTGGGTCGAAAAACCCATAGGAAGTGGAGATTAGAGTCAATCTTCGAGGTTTTTATAGGCGAATAATCGAAAGGGATACGATTTTATGATTGAATTGAGAATCAAATGTCAGACTTGAATTTTTCAAGCCAAATTTAAACTTTTAGTTCATCCTCTAGATGAGTTAACTCCAGGCAGTGCTAAGTCTACTAAAATATTTCGTGACATATCTTCTATGGTTGAAGTTTAGACCGATTCCACGCCGGAGAGCAACCCAGATTAATTAAATCCCCCAAGACCTTAATGGTGTCCTAGAAGTTCACCAAGCGTATACTTCTATATAAATTGTTGTACACCTTGTCTTTATGAAAGTACAAATCACTTGCCTTCTCATTATCGCTCATTCACATCTTTCGGGTTCAATTTGTTGATCTAGTACTAACGAAGTTTCTTTAATCACAACTCCCCCTTTAATTGATGCGCAGGTAAAGCGGATGATAAATTTAAGACAAAAGATCCTTGAACATTCTGGTGTAGGAGAAGATGGAGGAGTAAGTGTAACTAAGATGTATGACGTGCCTAGCGTCATTATCAACACCCCAGAGATGACGCAAAGGGCTGTTGTTACTCAAAGCCTGATCATTGGGAGATCTTAATCAAATCTAAAATGAAATTGACGAATAAGGTTATTTCCGCTGAAAACTATCACTAGGATACGGCAAAGTTTTAAATGTTGGTGACACACTTAGACAATCTAAACTGGAATCTCAGGTAATCCGTCTTTAGACTTAACTCGTCGAAAATTTGTTCGATGGAATATTATCGCAGAGACTTCCTGTTGGTCTCTAGGTGAAAAGCTATTCAAACCACCCGACTCACTTCCGCTATACTGTTGACTCTCATCTCTGGCTCACGTGAGCTTCCAATAGTAGTGCCAGCTTCAGTAATCTCACTGCCACCACCTTCTGTCTCGCTTCCCGTAGTAGCATCAATCTGACCTTCATCATTCTCACCCCCTTTTTCATCCGATTTCTTAGCGTTCCTCTTCCGAACCCATCTCAACAATCATGTAAATCCTAAAATTGCCGCCAGCCCCCCTCCAAGTCCCAGTCCAAACCCTAGTCCATTCTGCACATCTTGGGAAAGCCCCTTTTTTGGCTCTCTCACATAGTAGGACTGACATCTAAATTCTCGGCTTTCGTATTCTGGTGAGTTATAACCATACTGCGCTGCGAATATTGTGGAAGTGTGATCAAAGACTGCACGCAGAGACGTGCAGTCGAAAGGGCGATATGTTTGTACTCGAAGTGATTCTTTTAGATATTGAAGAGCTGGGAGGGAGAGGCTAGAATTTTCTTAGATTCTTGAAATGAATAAGGTAAGAAGAGGGGTGATAAAGTGGGCAATTTGTGAATCTAATAGGGAAACAATAAAAAATCACATACGAGGAAACTTGACCTTGGACCAATATATCCGTAGCATTGACCAGCCTGGGAAAACTTACATTCCCATTCACTGCCGCAGAGATTGAACTCACATTTGCCAAAAGTGGCATATGAAGACTATTCAGATTGTCAGTATCAGATTCGAGGATTCACTGTAAACTTCCTCAAAGTATCTCCAACTCCATCAAAATGACAGGAGGTGATCTATCTTTTACATCAATATCCGTTGATCAACACGCCACCCATACTGCACTCATCAGAAAGCCTGACTCCCAGCCCTGAGGCACGGTATTCATTCCTGTTATCGAAATCTTAGAACCACAGGGCCCATAAAAGATAAAAACAGGCACCGACCTTCCACTTGCATAATGAAAACAAAACTTCCCACCCTTTCTTCTAGATGTTCTAAAGTTGACTTAATAGTGCAACAGCAAACCAAACAATTAGACTGTGCCTCTTCCTTCCCTTTCGAAAGCCAATCATCCGTTCTCGCTTGATTGAAAATGTGGGTGTCATCGAAAATGAAACGATTCTTGGCAAATGAAATGGTGGCTGTGCTAATTGAGCTGACTGTTATTTTTTTGATCACCTAGTATGAAACATATGGGATGAAATTTATTAGATAACTTGTTAGTGGGGGCTAAGGAAAAGAGCCATGTGTGAAATGTGGTATTTTCCGTTAGCGGAGCAAATGGCTGGTAGAATTTTTCTATATTCCAAATCGGTCGAGGCGTTAGAACTCAGCTTCATATGGCTCTGGGAGACTGCCTGTGGACACACATGCTTTCAAGCTAGTTATTCTACCAGTTGTTATCTCGGCTTTCCCGTTGTCTCGTTTAAACACCGACAATGAAATGTCGAATTCGTTTGATACACTTAGGGAGGTCCAGTGCGAGAGCTTCAGCAAAAGCCCCAAAAAAAGCCTCGAGTAAGGTTCAACCAACGCTTTTGGAAGTATTATATGCGTACTAGCGCCCGCGTTGTTTTATAGCTCTTGTACCAATCATCTGACAGCTCTGGTAAAAGTGGTAGAGTAACAGAACGAGGCTCACTTTGAGCACTGCCCACGATATAACTTTGATATTTCTTAGTCAGAGAATGAAGTCTAGCTTTACCATCCTCTGGACTCGTAGAAAGAGTACTCCCAGGAAAGGCGTCGTCTGATTTCAGACTCTGTGCACATGTCTCGCACAATAAATCATTCTCTGTACTAGCAGTGATTCCGTCACGTCCAGAATATTCCTGTCGCCTCGAGTCCATGGCTATATCAAGCTCCTTGTCTCAGCTAGTTGAAAATGAAGCATACTTCTTGCATGGAAGTCTTGTGCCCAAAAATGAGGGGTAATGCAACATATAGTTATCAGTCAGTAGACGACAATTCCACTCTCTGGCTCTCTGTGGCGCTTATGGAGCGTCATCCACCGGCCTGAAGATGCGCGCTATTCTTCCATCTCGGAAGCTTCTTTCTTAGGGAATTGATCGGTAGAAAACAGGATATGTGGAATAATTTCGCGGAGATAGCTTATTGGTAGCCTTGTGATCGGAAACCCGACATCAGATATTCAAATAGAATTACACATTGAAGGCACTCAGCTTTCAATAGCATGTAATGCAAGTAACTCCAGGTCAAAAAGATATCGAATATTCATATCGATTGTCTGATTTGATATTGAACATCGACGAGAGAGTATATCTTCGATGTCCCGCTTTCTCGTTCAGTAAACCCCACCCCCACCCCCCAAAGCCCTTACCTAATATGGCAACTTGACTAATCCAGCACGTGTGAGTCTCGTGATTGAATTCGACTTTGGTACCCAACATGATGAATGATTTATTCTCTACAAGTTTTGAATATCTTTCATCTTCCATCATCTGAACAACCAAAAAGTGGACTTTTGTTCAATTGTATGATTTATTATTTATATAAGTTCAAAAGATACGAGTACATTTTATGCCCCTCGAATCACAAGCTTATAGATCGGGGGGGTTCGTTTCTTTTAGCCTTCTATTGTACCCGATCATATCAAGAATGTATTTGTACAATTATACATTTTCCCCCTTCAGACTATATTCTTCACCTTATTCATTTAAACCAATCATCAAAAATCCCCAACCAATCTCCCATCGCTATCTCCCCCTTCTTCTCGATATCCTCCCCCCATGTTGTTCAGTATCAGAGCTTCCTGGTCGTCGTCCCTCTAATGCACTTGGCCTTCCTCTTTTTGTAACCACGTTTATATCTCCTGCACGAGCCCGTTCCGGATATCTTCTCTCTTGCTTGTTTCTGGTTTCGCTTCCTCCATGACGACGGACATATCCACCAACTTTTGTATTTTCCCGTGATTTTTGATCCTTAGATATCCTTCCTCCCGCTCGTCCCTCTCCGATGTTTAATTTGCTTTCGGATGAGCCGGTGTGGTTTCTTAGTTCACGTCTCCGAATACCATCGTTAGGTACTTTCATTGGATTTGCTCCTTTCTCTCCAACCCTCAATCTCTCACCCGAACTCAAATATCCTTTCTTCCCCCCTCTTTCCCTCTCCCTCTCTCTCCTCGCTCTCATCGCAGCAGCCAATCTCAACCCTTGTTGCTTTTTTCTCTATCTGTATGTTTCTTTTCTCCCTCTCCTATCTCTTCCACTACTGTCCCCACGTTTATACCTCTTCTCCATATCTGCTTCGAGTCGTCTTATTTCCTCTTCCAGTTCTTCCTCCTCCACTTCTGCTTTGAGTCGTCTTATTTTTGCTCTCAGTTTTTCCTCCAATTCTGCCTTGAGTAGTCTCACCTTCTCTCTCAGTTCTTCTTCCTCTCCTACTTCCGCATCTTCCTGTCCGGTTCCCGCTGTCGAATTCTCACAAATATCAATATCGTCGCCCTGCTCCGTCTCTGCCTCTGTCTTCTCTTTCAAGTCCTTCTCCTTCTCCTTATCTTCCTTGTTGTTCGCTTCCACTTCCACATTGACATCCATTTCCATTTCCATTTCCTCAACATCCCCATTCCCCTCAACTCCCAGATCCCCATGTCCCCTACTCAATTTCTCCCCTTCCAAATTTCCCACACCAGACGAATCATTATCTGTCTCCCCAGAACCCAAACTCAAACTCAAACCTGACCCCACCATAGGCGTAACCGGCGGCGTAACCACAATTCTCGGCACTCCACTCTCTTGTTCCTCAAAATCCCGCAACGCGAACCCCAACTTAAATTCAAAACCCCTCTTCCCCTTCACACTCGGTGAAAACGGCGGCGTAGAAAGCTGATTACTTACCGGACTCAACGGTGCACTCTGTGGTAGCGGCGGTGGAAAATTAAGTCCAAATGCTACTTGCAACGCTTTTTTATTCGGACTATCAACAGGCCACACACAAAATACAACCTTCCGAATCCTTTTCCGTCGTATAGCGCCGAAAATAGGATGACGTAAGAAATCCCTCACAGTGCCGACAGCAATACGAGCAGCGAGACGATGGGGGAAAGATTTGTGGCCTGTGGAGATGGCGGGAAAGGCGATAGTTATACCTGTTGGCTTTGGGGAGGTTTGTGGGATATGATACTTCGAAGGGCCGTGAGAAAGTGAAGGAACGGATGTGGATGATGGGAGGTGTATGGACGGAATTGATGTAATGGGCGAGTAAGATGTGTTTGCTGGAATAGATGGAGACGGAATAGGCGAAACACCAAACGTGTCTAAACTCACATCCCTCGGACTCGCTAGACTCGCTGGACTACTCATACTTCCCGCCATATTAACTGTACCAAAACCTCTTATTCCTATTTTCCTTGATATCTCCGGCATATTCTCCCCCTCTACTGACATATCCTCATCAGTACCTGGCTCTGTATCCGCCATAATCTTATCTTCTGCTGCACTCGTGGAGGATACTAGATTCCCATGCATTCTTTCTACTTGATTGTTTGAAACACCTTCCTTCTCCTCCTCCCTCTCCGCAATCCCCATCGCCTCCACCAGCGCCCCCCGATAACAATTAACCAACAATTGTTTCACCAACGGCGTACTATACGCCTTATCCGCAAAATCCGGCGCATGAGTATGAATAATAAATTTCGGTCTCTCATTTCCCTCCCTCATTTCCCCTTTCCCATATCTTTTCCCTTCATCAATCTTCACTGCCGCAGCATCACCCAACCCAAAACTTCCACTTACTCCACACGCCCCAGCATACAATCCTTCCTTCCAATTCTGTTCTCTCCACTTTGCTAATTCCTCTCCGGCGGTTTTATCAATCAGACCTGGAAGACTTATCTGCGGTGTTGCGGTATTTATCCCCATCCCCATACCCATCCTGGAAGGCAAATCCACAAGCCCAGAATCCGCAACCCCAGCCATCGAACCCTTCGCGCGCATAAGCGAATACGTAGACGGGGATTGAGAAATCGGGTTTACGATCGCGGTGCAGGGGTAGGAGAGGAGGGACACGAGACGCAGTTCGAGTGGGACGAGGGGGTCGGAGGAGGAGGAGAGGAGGAGGCCTTGGGAGAGGGGGAGGGGGGTTGAAGTTGAGGGTATGGGTTTGGAGGGGGAGGGAAAGGGGGATTTTATGATGAAGGGGTTAGGGGTTTGTGAGGTCATTTTTGTTTCTTGAGTGGGTTGGAGTGTTTGGGTGTGGGTAGTGGGTTGAATGGGATAAGATAGAATAGAAAGTGTAAAATATATAGCAAAGAACAATATACCATCAACTCCAAAGATCAAACGACATATTTCGTATCCCTTAGAAAAATATTCATGAAATAACAGAATACTGCTTGCTATACTCTACCCAACATCTTCCTTTCAATCAAAGCACCACCCACATACACGCAGCGATCAGTAGTGTACACATTCCCATCCATCCCAGCACCACTCTTTCAACCCCCCCCCCTATCAAATCACCCTCTTTCATCCATTCTTTGTACCCAAATCCCTACAGCTAGCAAAACCAACACTAGTGGCACATAGCAACAAAGACGCATTTCTGACACGCGGAGAGATGATGGGTGGAACCGGATGGAATTGGGACAAAGATTTATCTTGGCGTTTGGGGGTTTTAATGGTGTGGTGTGGTATGGTATGGGATGTAACTGGAAATGAGTGTGAGGAATTGCGGGGGATTGGGGAGAAGAATGATGACCACGGTGAAGGGTATTTTTTGAAGGATATCTAAAATCAAACTAATGATTTTGGATTTGGATTGTGCGGACTGGGGTGTAGATTTGAGAGGACTAGATCTGTGACTGATATTTTAATACCTTGCGAAATAACGTAATGGTGATTTTTTATTCAATTAAGAAAGATCAATCATCAATATCAGTATACCACGATTCAGCGGAACGAGCCGTGAGCTCCTACAAGCGAAATCGCATCAGCAAGAAACACTATTGAATATGATACAAGATTAATTATATGTTTGACAGTCGATATATATTGAAAAAAAAGTATACCAGAATCGAATGTTGTGGTATCAAAACTCCAATCCCCTTACACCAATCCTTTGATGAATAATCCGTACAATCCAAGTGCTGATGTCCTGATTCCCATTTTATGCACAGTGTCCATTTATTCCATTATACCCAACCCAATTATTGTTTGATATTTATTTTTGCTCCGTCGAATAACATCGATCGATGACTGTAACGATTTTTCCATGATCGTCTTGCGACGCGATGGTAAATTGTCGCAAAGTGGTCGGAATTCGATTGAGTGGCCTCTCCCCTATCCCACACCCACATCCGTCAATCGCGCTGGATTTATCGTTCCGCGGTGCTCAACACCAAGCCATCCAATGCACCCTCTAACCATTTTCCCAATTCCTCTGCCTGTCTTCTCATACTGCTGATCCCCACTCCACCTCCTCTCGCACTCCTCAAACTCGCCGTCTCGCTCCCTTCTCCACTCCTGATAACTTCCCTCTCGTGGCCTCCTTCTGGTGACGCTGGTTGCGATATCGAAATCATCCCTTCCCTTTGAATCTGCGGTGTGGTGGTTCCTGATACTCCGGGTGCTGGTCCGATCGCGACAAATAATAATCCACAAGCTAATAGTCGTATCACCATGATGCCCAATTCCATTTGTATCAGTATACTCTTCGTTTCTCGAGATTTGGGAGTGCGACCATTGGACGCTTCGCCATTGGGAGGGAGCGCATCCGATACGGTTTGCGCCGGGAAAGGTGAGTAGAGTGTCCAGAGTGAGAGGGCGAGAGTACCTTGATGACGCAGTACCGAGGCCGGAGAACTGGAAGAGGTACTGAGAAGCTTGCCGGTGGGTGTCAGCAGCATTAGTGTATGGAGATGTGGCGATATGTTGTTCTGTAGGAAGGTGGACATTCTTTTGCTCAGGAGCATGGTTTGACTTTGTGGTGGATGGGACGTCATGGTTATTATTTGATTTGATCTGGTTATATCTTGTTCTGTTGAATGAGATATCATTAGTAAAGATTTCTCGTATAAGATTGATTGTCTTTGTAGAGATTGAAAATATCAATTGGAACAACTAAGGAGAATACATACAATATTATGAATCAGCTACAGTGAAAGTAATTGATTGAGCAACAATAGGATAATAATGATAAAAAGAAGTGAATTGCAATTCCAAGCTGATAAGAGGTTGTTCAATGGCTCGGCATGGGCGGGGAAGGTCTGAGTAGTTTATAGCTGTAGCTTAAAAATTATTTCGAGGATGATCTCGGTAAAGTTTAGACCATGAAGGGTAAAGGGTGTAACCAGAAATGACTGGAGAGATTTCATGGTTACAACGTCGAATTCATATTCGTGGTAATAAGAGGGTGATGAACTGATTCTTTTCACAGAAAAAAGTTGGAGTTTGTGAATCCTGAAACTTATTTGTAATTAAATATAGACTCATATAAAAATGTCAGAACCAAGTTTAGCACCATGGATTCTATGGACAGACATTTGATCTCATACTTTCGGAAGCACATCTTATACATATCTATATGAAACGATCTAATAAGAATAATATCAAACAATAGAGAATATCTACACATTTGAAGAAGCTAATCTGCCTCCACGGCAGTGGCCCCCGGAGGGCCAGCGGAGCGTCATTTCCATTCATTAATCGGTTTGATTATGGGGACAAGCCCCCAAACCCCCATAGCTCGCTGCGCTCGAGTATATACGTCATGAGGATCAAATTGGCCATAGATTTTCACTTGTAGAGGTTGTATGAAGAGTTGAATAGACATATTACTATGCACTTAATATTGTGAGGCATACATACTAAACAGTCTACTAGATAGTACTAAAATATGTCCGTCACGTTTAGCATCCACAAATCGATAATCGATGATTTCTCTGTCTACTATAAATATCCAAGTACTTTTCTCTACTCAGGTTTTCAATTATTCTACTGAGATCTTTAATATATGAAGCTTTCAATATATAACATTAGTTATCTTAGTATTTAATAATCTTCCCTTCTTCACAAGATCCATAAATAGTTCACAAACTCTCGACAGTATCAATTCCGACGGTAATTACCACAAGCACAGACAGACATCATCGACATCGACATTGGCAAATATGACGATTCTTGAAAATTGGATGGAAAGTTATACACCCGAAACCCCTTCCTTACATTATCTCATTTTTCCATTGGCATTTTATTTTTCATGGATGTATGCTTTCAAAGAGATCGTGGAGTTTATAGTTGGAGAGCTTAGCGACCTCATTAACTTTTTCGAAGAATTGCTCTTTTATTAATAGGGTTGAAGGAGGGGATAACTTTTATATGAGCTCGAGGCTTGGGTGACGGTATGGACCGGAATATCTTTGCGTAGGTTTGAGTAAGCGTATGAGACGCTCATCATCTACCTAGGTAGGTATACATGCTGGAGATATACATACTGGAGATATACATACTGGAGATATACACACTGGAGGTATACATACTTGAGTGTGTGTAGGTAATCGTTTGATACGACTATTTCAACTCATGCAAAAGATATCCTATTCACTCTGATATACAAAGTACTCGGTACCGAAATACTCTCTACATAGCTTTTCATCGGACAAGATCTCATTTGCTTAGAAATATTATATTGGACCTTTCACAATCCTCCCCACGTCATAATGACCTAGACTAGCCGAAAAGAGGGGCGTGGGAACTGGTGGAACATCATTATTGTCAAAGTATTTTTGTACCCCTCATCAATATAACTTGTTGCTATCCATTCACAACAACGTCAACTATTTTCGCATTCCATTCTATGTACACTTTTCGCAATTTAAGCAGACTCATCAAACCAAGTTATTTACAACAAAGTATTGTAGATTCAGGTACGTTCTCCATAGCTATATCGAGGAAATATCAATCAGCTCTATCACATCACTCCTATCAATCCTACCTTGTACAGTTTGCTAATACTCAACCACCTTTACAGCAAGTAGATCATACGCAACAATGGCTACCAATACAAACACCTATAAGTTTAATCACTCGATGTACGAACCCAAAAATACATAAACATCTTTTTTGATTGGATGATACTAATCCGCCAAAAGGATTCGAGTCAAAGATCCAAAGGAATCTGGTAAGTTTGTACCTCAAATATATGCCCTCAACATATGCACTCACTAGCGGTAATATCTAACAACTTATCCAGTCAAATTCTACGAACACTTGGGCATGAAAATGATTCGCAAGATTGAACAACCTGAAGCTAAATTCGACCTTTATTTTATGGGTTACGATTCCCCCAAAGCTCTCTCACACGGAAACCATTTCAGCGATCGCGAAGGATTAATCGAATTGACGCACAACTATGGAACTGAGAACGATGCCGATTATAAAATCTCAAATGGAAACACCGAACCCCACAAAGGTTTTGGGCATACCTGCATATCTGTCGACAATCTTCAAGCGGCTTGTCAGCGAATCGAAGATGCCGGATATAAATTTCAAAAGAAATTATCCGATGGACGTATGAAGCATATTGCGTTTGCACTGGATCCAGATAATTATTGGGTTGAGATCGTTGGACAAAAACCTATTGAAGAGACTGAGAGCATCAAAACTACTGATACCGAGACATATCGAATGGTAATCTCTTCTTTCCTCTACAAAATGATATCTAGGTAACTAACAAAATTGTAGAACCACACTATGATTCGTGTCAAGGATAAAGAAAAGTCGTTGAAGTTCTACCAAGAAATCATGGGAATGTCACTCATGCGAACAGCTGAAAACCCAGGTGCTAACTTCAATCTCTATTTCCTTGGGTATCCTGGAGAACAGGGTCTTCCTACATCATCAGCCACATCCAATCGTGAAGGTTTGTTGGAATTGACCTGGAATTACGGTACAGAGAAAGAAGAAAACTTCAAATATCACAACGGTAATGATGAGCCACAAGGCTTTGGTCACATCTGTAAGTCATACAATGATTTCTTCTTCGCATATGGGCTAGACTAATCTTACGATAGGCGTGTCAGTGGATAATTTAGATGCAGCATGCGAGAGGTTTGAGAAGATGGGCGTTAATTGGAAGAAGAGATTGACTGACGGTCGTATGAAACACGTGGCATTCGTTCTTGATCCTGACAATTATTGGATTGAGGTTATTCAAAATGAGAAACTGAAGGAGAGAGCTAATTGGTAAAGTTTTGAGTGGGATACCCGAGTAGATTACAGGATTGGGGGCATATCAATACCTAGGTACTTGTATCGTGCATCATGGGAAGTTGAAGCTATTAAATTCTGTAATTTTGTCATAGAATTTATTAGGGTGATCAATTTTGGCCTCTTTTTTCTCCCAAGTAGAGCTTGCATAGTGCATTGTAGCAAATTGAAGCTATCATACATTATCAACCACAGAGACCGAATAAGCACAAATTCTATCGTTTCATGTGACTTCTTTTACTTCTGTGACATCTTCTTTTTATCAATAATGATTAGAATTTAAATGGACAAGGTAAGGTTCCTTGGATGGTTGGGTTCTCATCGACATTCCGCATAACGTACATTAGTGTAATGCGGGGTTCAATTGCGGGGTGGGGGGTTCCGTGTCATCTCATCCATCTCGTCAGATCTCAGAAAGTTTCATGAACGAATTGGAGTTGATCTTCATTTGGGGTGGTGCTACCTAGTATACAAAAGTTCACCCTTTCCTGTTCCTGTGGGCTATTCTTGTTGATGTTTTTAATTCACTTCTTCCTTACTTCTTGCTGACTTCTTGACTTCTCAATTCTCTTTCATACTGACTTTAAACAAACAAAAAAAGAGTACCAAGTGCAAGGTACAAATTCTCTACGATTACTCAACAAAAGTTTCTGTGCAATATCTCAGGTAGTCATTACACGCACAATCTTCGAGAAGCTCTGAAGTTGTTCTTTAATTAAGCTCGAAAAAGAACATAACACACTTCACAATGGCACCATCAGCATTACCAAGTCTTGACAATACCCTTCCCGAATCCTCAAATCGTCCCAAGATTCTCATTCCAGAAAAGGTATCAGTCGATGGACTAGCTCTCCTAGGTAATGCATTCGAAATCCATCAACCTAAAAACCTATCACCTGCAGACCTTCTAGAAATAATTCCTCACTACTCTGCACTCATCATTCGCTCAGAAACAAAAGTTACAGCTGATATTCTCGCTGCTGCGAAAAATCTCAAGGTGGTAGCGAGAGCAGGAGTTGGTGTGGATAATATTGATGTGGAAGCTGCGACGAAAGATGGAATTATCGTGGTTAATTCTCCGAGTGGAAATATTGCGGCAGCGGCTGAGCATACGATTGCGCTCTTGATGGCGGTCGCGAGAAACGTACCGGCTGGGGATAGGTCGTTGAGGAATGGAGGGTGGGAGAGAGGAAAACTTGTAGGGACGGAAGTTGGAGGGAAGATTTTGGGGGTGGTGGGACTGGGAAAGGTCGGATTGAAGGTTGCGAGGATGGCGGTGGGATTGGGAATGAAGGTTTGGGCGTTGGATCCGTATGCTAGTCCTCAGATTGCGGAGGCGAATGATGTGCTTCTTGTGAAAGATCTGGAAGAGTTGTTGCCGGTGGTGGATTTTTTGACGATTCATACCCCGCTTATTGCTAGTACATTGGATTTAATCGGGAAAGAGGAATTGTCGAAGATGAAGAAAACTGCAAAGGTTCTCAATGTAGCGAGAGGGGGAGTCTACAATGAACAAGCTCTTCTTGATGCTCTTAACGATGGTATCATCGCAGGAGCAGGTCTCGACGTCTTTACATCCGAACCTCCTACTCCTTCCTCCCCCGCTCAAAAACTCACTCAACATCCCAAAGTCGTCGCGACTCCTCATCTCGGCGCCTCGACAATCGAAGCTCAAGAATCGGTTTCGGTGGATGTGTGTACGCAAGTTCGTGCTATTCTTTGTGGAGGTCTCCCT